AGAAATCGGTGAAAATTCTATTTGTCGATAATTTTGAATGCACGTTTGTTCTTGATTCAATTGATTATGTTCTTGATTCAATTGATGATTCGTTCGATTATTCATTTGATTATGTTCTTGATTCAATTGATTATTCGTTCGATTATTCATTTGATTATTCAATTGATCATTCAATTGATCATTCAATTGATTATTCAATTGATTAAATGGTATTTCTTGTGGTGACTCGGGATTGGGTAACCTCCCTTTTGTAAAAGGCGTGGAAGGTAACGGTGAAGGTTGTGGATCATGAATTTGTGTCTTATTTTCAACCATGCGTTCTTCCTTATTCTCAACTGTTTCTAACTTGCTTTGTTTGTAAAGTTGACGCACGCCTTTTGCAATTTCTTTATATTTTTCCCGTACTTTATCTGTTTCATTTTTCCATGAACTAGATACCCATGGTGATACATCAGTCATTTTATATCGAAAATCTCTTGCGATTAATTCTTTTGTATAAACTTTTCGATATATAAAAAATGCATTAGGAGGTTTAGAAGGTAATTTACGTGTTTTGCTGTTAATCAAATCCTCTGCATTAATCTCGGGCGGAAAAGGTAACGTAAAGGATGGTGGTGGTCTTACAATTTTGCATGCTTGATTATTAGTTTCTATTTCCTGTGCTTGATTTTGCCCTCTAAAAACCTTATTTGATGTTTTTGGCATCTTAAGGGAACTTTTTAGCATAGTGCAAATTCCGTAGTTCGTATGAATAAGGAGAGTATGGTATTTATTCTCACTTGTTCAAGATCCTGAACTATGCATGCATCTTCTTGCTGATCAACTCATCTTATGTCCTCGCTGTTCTATTTATGCCCATTTTAAGCCGATCTTTTTTTTGTAATATACTGTATAACAGTATAATGTATGTTGTCACTCATAATTTATACTATTGAATTTTTATTTAATTGGTAGGGTGTTATGCTGGATTTAATTTCCTATATTAAAGACTACACTTTATTTCAAATTTCAAATACTTTTAGGACATGTGTATAGATAAAAATGTCGCGTGAGTGTATGCATGAATTGAATGAAATTACGCAAGACAGTTAGACGACCAATCAAATTTAAGAAGAAAAACCAGATCAAGGAAAATTTCGTGATCGATTAAGAATCTGACGAGTACGTAAATGTAACCAATAACAAATAAATTTGCATAGCAGCATAAATCGTTGTGGGTAAAAAATTATATTCAATTCGCTACACTATAATATTTTGGAATGGTGTAAGTTAACAATAGACATACATAGATATACATAGATATACATAGATATACATAGTAGTAAGCTAATCTTCAAATATTATTCCACAGCATTTTAACAAAAACAGAATGCCGGCGGAAACATATATTCCGGAAGCGATAACTTTTTTTGGTAGATTAACACCATAAAAAGCAATACATAAAAATCGGAATGAGAGAATAAAGAGATAGTGATAT